CTGCTTCTCATCCCACCCCACCAGCGAGCAGGCTGGGGGTGCACAAGAAGTTGGGAAGGGACACAGCCGGGACAGCTGACCCCAGCTGACCAAAGGGATATTCCACACCACATGACATCATGCTCAGCATATAAAGCTGAGGGAAGGAGGAGGAAGGGGGTGATGTTTGGCATGATGGCATTTGTCTTCCCAAGTAACCGTTATGTGTGATGGAGCCCTGCTTTCCTGGAGATGGCTGAACACCTGCCTGCCGATGGGAAGGAGTGAATTAATTTCTTGTTTTGCTTTGCTTGCATGCGTGGCTTTTGCTTTACCTATTAAACTGTCTTCATCTCAACCCACGGGTTTTCTCACTTCTACTCTTCCAATTCTGTCCCCCATCCCACCTGGGGCAAATGAGCAAGTGGCTGTGCAGTGCTTCATTGCCAACTGGGGTTAAACCACAACAGTCCTTTTTGGTGCCCAGTGTGGAGCCTCTCCAGCACACATCACCTCCTCCTCTGGTGATATTCTGAAATCTTTGCCTTCTGGCCAGTCCATGATCACTTCCAAGATTCCTGGGCAACTGGGGTTTCCTGTTCAAGCCTGTTGTGTGATTAGTGCGACCCACTTACTCCACCTAGCATCAGTTGCATGATGTGGAGAGGGGACCCTCCCTTTGAACATCCAGCCCAGCACCAGCAGTCGGGGTGCCAGGAGGAGCTGTGCTTCAGTACCAGCCACTTCCGAAGCAGCTCGAACCCCTTCATATGCTGCCAATATCTCTTCCTCAGTTGGAGTATAGCGGCCTTGGATCTATGTATCCCCAACTCTAAAACCTTAGGGGTCAACCTCGAGTCTCCCCTGGTGCTTTCTGCCAGAGGCTCCAGGTGGGGCTGTTCTCCCTGGCTGTGGTGTAGAGCACATTTTTTACATCTTGTCCTGCCCAGACTGGCCCAAAGGCTGCTGCATGAACCATCTCCTGTTTAATTTGTTCAAAGGCTTGTCGTTGCTCAGGGCCCCATTTGAAATTGTTCTTCTTCCAGGTCACTTGATAGAGAGGGCTTGCAATCAGGCTGTAATTTGGAATATGCATTCTCCAAAAACCCACAACACCTAAGAAAGCTTCTGTTTCCTTTTTGCTAGTTGGTGGAGACATAGCTGATATCTTGTTGATCACATCCACTGGAATCTGATGACGTCCATCTTGCCATTTTATTCCTAAAAACCGGATCTCCTGTGCAGGTCCCTTGACTTTGTTTTATGGCAAAACCGGCCTTCAGAAGGATTTGGAGTATTTTCTTCCCTTTCTCAAAACCTTTTTCTGCTGTGTTGCCCCATATGACAATGTCATCAATGTATGGCAGCTGTGCTGGAGCCTCACCCTGTTCCAGTGCAGTCTGGATCAGTCCATGGCAAATGGTGGGGCTGTGTTTCGACCCCTGGGGCAGTCGGTTCGAGGTATACTGGAGGCCCCTCCAAGTGAAAGCAAACTGTGGTCTGCAGTCTGCCGCCAAAAGGATTGAGCAAAACGCATTAGCGATATCAATTGCGGCATACCACTTGACTGCCTTTGACTCCGGTTCGTATTGAAGTTCTAACATGTCCGGCACAGTAGCACTCAGCGGCGATGCCCTGGCCATCTGCCAGCCCAGGCACATCGCCATTGCTGTTATCAAAATGTTCTCAGGCACATCAGAGTAAGATGATAAGCAGTACTGCAGTACAGCAAGCAGCGAAAGCAAAAAACAGCCACTAATGAGCACTAGACTGTAATATACAGTAAGGCAAGCAATACCCATGGCAAGCACGGGAGCCTATCAATTAATAGCTAAACAACAATAACAGCTACAAGTTTGATCTACCACATTCCAATCAAATCTGTCATTATCTTGAACCCTTTGAGCCTCACGTTGGGTGCCAAAAAGGACTGTCGTGGTTTAACCCCAGCTGGCAACTAAGCACCACACAGCCGCTCACTCACTCCCGCCCCAGTGGGAAGGGGGAGAGAATCAGAAGGGAAAGTGAGAAAAAACTTGTGAGTTGAGATAAAGACAGTTTCCTAGATAAAGCAAGAGCCACGTGTGCAAGCAGAG